CCTCTCCACCCTCCTCCTCTCCCCCTCCTCCTCCCGCCCTCCTCCGCTCCCACCCTCCTCCTCTCCTCACCCTCCTCCGCCCTCCTCCGCCTCCTCCTCCCTCCGCTCCTCCTCTACCTCCTCCTCTCCCCCCTCCTCCTCCCGCCCTCCTCTCCCCTCCTCCTCCCCTCTCCTCTCCCCACCCTCCTCCTCTCCCCCCCTCCTCGCTCCCACCCTCCTCCTCTCCCCTCCCTCCCCTCCTCCCCTCCTCCTCTCCCGCCCTCCTCCGCCTCCCTCCTCTCCCGCCCTCCTCCGCTCCCCACCTCCTCCTCTCCCTCCTCTCCCACCTCCTCCTCCCGCTCCCACCCCTCCTCCTCTCCCCCTCCCTCCGCTCCCACCCCTCTCCTCCCTCCTCCCTCTCCCACCCTCCTCCTCTCCCCCCTCCTCCTCTCCCACCCTCCTCTCCTCCTCTCCCCCCTCCTCCCTCTCCCGCCCTCCTCCCTCTCCCTCTCCCGCCCTCCTCCGCTCCCACCCTCCTCCTCTCCCACCCTCTCCTCCCCTCTCCTCTCCCCTCCTCCCTCTTCTCCCCCCCTCCTCCTCCCCGCCCTCCTCCGCCCTCCTCCTCTCCCGCCCCTCCTCCTCTCTCCTCCCTCCCCCTCCTCCTCTCCCGCCTCCCCTCCTCCCCCTCCCGCCTCCTCCTCTCCCACCTCCCTCCTCTCCCCCCTCCTCTCTCCCGCCCTCCTCCCGCACCCCTCCTCCTCTCCCCCCTCCTCCTCTCCCCCCCTCCTCCCCCCTCCTCCTCTCCCGCCTCTCCTCTCCCACCCTCCTCCTCCCCCCCCTCCTCCTCTCCCACCCTCCTCTCTCCCGCCTCCTCCGCCACTCCTCCTCCTCCTCTGGCCTCCCCTGTCCTCCTCTGCTTCCTCCTCCGTTCCCGCACCATTCCGCTTCGCTACCCACCACACACTCGCTCTACCACCTCCGCCCATCGGTGAGTACCAATACAAACTTACCGGGTAGTAGTTGTATATGTACGCACTACTTTCTATAGAAATGGCAATGAATTTCTGTATATGTAATGTATTTCATGGAGCAAAGGGAGGCTCAGGAACGTAACTCCCGTATTTTATCTATTTCTTATCGGGAAAATTGATCCGCTTAACATTGTTTTGTATAAAGTCGCGTTTTCAAGAAAGTAACCCCGACATTAAGCGAGGACTTATACAGTATATACTGTAGGTCTATACTCACAAATTTTCAAGTTTCTTAAGAAAAGTGCACAATACTTTCCCTTAGGGACCCCACTAGGGGGGATACTAAGAAAGAACAACCCTCAAAATACAAAAGATACATACAGTCTGCATTTGTTAACATAAAAAAAATAAGTCCTGTCAGAACAGGCTTCAAGCCCCAGTCAGGGGATGTTAAAACTAAATCACAAAATGTTGCTGCAATGCCTGACTCAAACCAACTAATTGACAACCTACATTAAGTTATGTATCTGAGTTTTATGAGTACAGTGGGGTATGCTATAACGAACGTAATTGGTTCCAGAACCTCGTTCGTTATAGCATTCGTTCGTTATAGGATTAATCCGTTCCAGGCCCCCAAATACAACCACCTAACACTGAAAAAATTCTGTGGAAAATGTAAAAAATACGGTACTTTATCTTACCTTAGTGTTATTCAGCATGCAGGTACCCCTAAACACTGGCACATCACTATCACTTCCACTGGGAGTCTTGGCTTTAAGGTCCTCAAACAATTGTCTGGCCTTCTCACAAATTATAGCTTCACTAATGTTACCACCTGCCATTTCTTTCTCCTTTATCCACACTAAGAGTAAATTTTCCATCTCTTCAATCACATTACACTTTGCTTTGCTAAGTCTAAAGATTCCCTTTGCCACTTGCACAGTTTTTAATTCCTCTTTATTCTTCAAAATCGTACATATAGTCGATTTAGCCATCCCATATTCATCACTAAGTTTCGCAATGCTTCTTCCATTCTCACGTTTCTTCATAATTTCTTTCTTAGTTTCAAGGGTTATTAGCTTTCTCACTCGCTTTGGACGACTCATTGTTACAATTGTATACTTGTATAACAAAATAGTTATACAAATAACGCGAATTTCAACAATAACAGTGGTGCACTGGCTACACAATGAGACAAAGATAGCGCCTGACGCTCTTGTTGTGGGTCGCGGTACAACAATATTCATGCGCCAGGCGAAATAGTCCCTTATTCATCCACGTTCGTTGTAGGAGTTGCGTTCGTTATAGCATTCTCAATTTTATAAGTAAAACCGTTCGTTATAGGAATATTCGTAGTAGGATCCGTTCGTTATAGCATACCCCACTGTACATTAGTACTGAGCAGTATATTGTAAGTGGTAAATCACATCTGTATGATGGTGCCTGTGTAAACAATTGAGGCGCTCAGCATTAGAAGGGGATAAAGCGACACCCCGGCCAAAATGCGGTTTTTGATGGATGTCATTATTTTCACCCTTCCTCTACATGTTGGTGTTGGATGTAACCTTCTAGCTAGAATAGAAATATGGTAGAAAGTCCTTCAAAAATAAGGTGTGATTTTGCCTCAGGCCTGGAGCTACATACCTGGCTGTGCGCTCAGTCAAAGAAGGAGGCAACATCCCGTTCAGAGCGAGAGTTAATAACAGTGCGCCTCCCTCGGACGATACCCCTTGAGGCAGCCAATCACAATGGATTTCCCCTTGCTACGTCACAGCTCCTCGGCCAATCCGCGCGCCCAGATGCTGCCTCCTTGTTAGTTTTGGTGCGTTGTATAGCATAAGGAGGTTCAGTGTGCTCTCTGCTTTTATTTTTGATAGCTTTTCGGTGTAACATTGACGTTATTCCTGTTCCACGGGTGTGACAAGTGCTGTGCAATATCTGCCCGATATTAGAGCAAGAATCGAGTGAGGCGAGGCCTTCTGGTGTGGGTTCAGCAGCCTATTATTCCTGAGAGTGTGTTTAGTGACAACAGTGCTCACGTGGACACCCCAGGAATGCTTGGTGATAGTGATTTTGGTAAACCCATAATACAAAAAGTGACTGCTATGCATCATAAAACCTTTTTGCAGACCGTGTTCCGGTACAGAGTTACGTGACATGCACTGACGGCAATAATGATGATGAAAGTGAAGATGAAAATGATTTAAGTGAGTCTAATGGTAACACAAACAGTGACACTAATGTATCACAACAAGAACATACAGACTGTGAGGAGGTAGAAGTGGACAGTGACGAGACATGCATTGACCTTGATAGTGATGAAAGTGAGCCTGACCAAATGAATGCTAGTGAAAGTGAACCCATAACTCAGTCTTATAATGGATCTGAACTGTTGCCAGCATCAATAATCAATGATTTAGTTGATGATGAATCTGTGTGGCGATTTTTAGAGAGTGCAGAGATAGACTTTGATCAGTATGTGATTGATTATGACGAGGCCATTAAAGTTATACGCACTCCTCAGGGTTTACGTAACTTCAAGTTACTACGATCTTCAGGGATAATAAAACAAAGGAACTAAACAAAGTAAGATTGTAATACTATTGTCATAATACAGTAATACCCCGCTTTACGCAGTTCTGGTTTACGTGTTTCTACATTTACGCGGTACCCTGCCAGAACCGGAATTCCCACTTTACGTGGTGCTTCTACTCATATACGCGGGTGGAGTATAATTTTTTTATTTAGCTCATAAAATTCATACAAATTACCCGGCCATAATATAATTTACATTGCTGGAATTCTTACAATATGATGATCATTTTGAATGTAAACATCATGGATTTTGCATTAGACATACAAATTTTAGATCTAATGCAAGAATTTTGTTTACACAGAGCAAATATGTTATCTTTTGTGCAAAATATATGACGTGTATATTCAAAATAATCCTGGTCTTGCAAGGAATCCAGCAATGTCAATTATGTTATCCTAACTTTAGTCTGAGGTATTATTTATTACTATACCTTAAAATCTAGTGTTTTCACCAAAACATTTCTCAGAGAGGGAGGAGCCAGCGAGTGTGAGAAGGGGGGGGGGGAGTTGAGTCCATTATTTGAATGGACATTAACCTGGCGACTGTATTTCTCTTAAATATTAATTGTGTGTGCATACCATCATAAAATTAAGATTATATTTTTACTACAGTACAACATAGGTGTTGTGTCGGTATTGTGTCCGAAAAAGTGTAGTTTGGGAGTCGGCCCAGTCTCTATTTCAATTAATCCCATATGTTCTGTTATTACATTTACAAGTTTCTCGTTTTACGCGGACCTCCGCGGGTTCAATTGAGCGCGTAAATCGGGGTATTACTGTGCTGTTTTTACCATAGATTATGCAAACTTTCTCTGCCTTTGTATTCATATGTTAATTACATTGAGGGAGAGAGGTTAATGATGGGGGGGGGGAGATGAGTGTAGTGGTGGTTCCTTATTATTACACACTATTATACCTAATAATATTATAAATCTTTGGCTAATAATAGGCAAATGAGTTTTTTATTATTATTTCATTTTGAGGGGGGTTTATGGGGGGTGGGTGATCATTAACTTATTTTACAGTATTAGTCTACAATAATAAGAAAATTTTGTAGAAAAATGCAATTATTTTTGGTTTGAAGATCAAACAACCATAAATGACGGGTAGTTAGTCTCATTCAACTCGTCATAAAATAATAACTATTCACAGTACTAACTTCCAGTTTTCACATTTTGCTAGGAGAGGGATTGAGCTGCTCTAGCTTAAAAAACAAAGTTATGGTTGCTTGAACTTCAAAAACTTTAAACGAGTTTTTCTCAGCTTTTTGAATTTGGCGCTTCACCCCCTTCTAATGCGGAGCACCCCAATTACAGTACTGTATGTAGCAATGGGTAGAGCCCAAAGTAGGAAAATTTCGGGAATTGTCAAGTACTGTAGCTATACACATACAGTAGGTTGGGGTGTACTGGATACTGTAAATATAAAAGTAAAATAAAAAAGTTGTTCACTCACTTGTTTCATGTTCATAAGCTGGCCCTCTAAAGAATCTATGTCATCAATAAGCTTGAAGCACTTTTTACACACAATGCTTGAGTGTGCAACAAGAACACTCAAATCTTGGTTGACAATGGTACTCAGAACAGCATGAACTTGCAGCTGACGATGTGAAGTCTTTGCCTGGTACAAAAGATTTACTCAGTTTATGGTTGACAATATAAAGTATTTAGCTATTCCTATAAAACTACTGTTTCAGGGTGCTAACACAATATTACAAACAGGATATTAAACAAAGAAAAATTTAAGAACTGAAATTTACAAATGAACAAATCTGAAATAACTACCACATACATCATCATTTTATAACCTTAAGTTGTACAAATCATTTTATGTAGTACAACATCTACCACAAATATAAACTTCTACGTAATTACACTTGCCATCTCTGTCAGTCCCTTCTAAGGTTGTGGTATGAGGAGAACATCCAAATAAAAACTAATAATAAAATAACAGGAAAATCTACATGGATGAGATTCTTATTAATGACAAAATGCCAACTAACCTTATCAGAGAAGACTTCCATAGCACCCCTTGCAGACACCCCCAGTTTGGCATTGCAGACCAGGCAGTGTGGACCGGACTGGGATGAATTTCTCTGAAGTTTTGACACAGACTGGTCCAATGATTGTACATGGTGGTGGTGATGGTGGTGATGATGATGATGGTGCAGGTGAGTGTGTCGCCGTCGTTCTTCATGTAACTGCTCTGCTGCACTTCTCTCCAACTATCAATGAAAAACGTAACATAAAACTTTTATTTTAGGCTAATCTTATAATTTCCTCAGCGTAAAATAAAAAAATTAATACTGTAAAATATCGTACAGGGCATATATGTACGGTATCTATGAATCTAAATACAGTACTGAAGTTAAAAAATGAAGAAAAGGTGTGTAATGCTAGTGCCTCTATCTAAAATAAATCCTTGACTTTCTTCATTACTTTTATCCTCTTCGACACTGATTGGCTTGTTAGCCGCTTGGGTGGTCTGTCACGTCTCTGTTATGCACTGTTGGCAAGTACTGGGCATGCACTTCTGAATGTACCTGAACCTGCTCCAGTATTGGTCTAGTCTGGTCTTGAAAGAGCTCACACTTGGTGCCGTCACAACACACTCTGGCAGGCTGGTCCAAGAGTTCACAACTCTCACTCTGATAAAGTTTGCCCTCACAGTTTTCTGGACTTGTGGCTTCTTCAATCTTGAGCTGTGAACCCTTGTGGGAAAGGTGTCCACCAGCTCCAGGTATGGACACTTGACTGATTAGTGCCATCTGAGATGTTTATACACCTCAATTAGGTCACCCCTTACCCATCTGTAGTATAAGCTAGGCAGCTGCAGGCACTCTAATCTCTCTAGATAATTGAGGTGCCGAATTGCAGGCACCAGTCTAGTGGTTCTTATTTGGACAATTTCAATCAATTGACAGTCTCTAGCATATCTTGGGGACCAAATAGGATGACAGGACTCCAGGTGGGGAAGCACTTCATTCTTGAAGATTGCTATGAGGGATGAACCGTCTATATATCTGAACAACCTTCTTATAAGACCTAGTACAGTCTCTGATCAACTTACAAAATATTCGACTTACGACAACCCGGACATAAGACGGCCATTGTCGTATAAAATATTTTTCACATTACGTATTTTCGAGTCCCAATGTTAGTGATTGTGCTGTGTACTGACAAAATTTTCGTTTATAATTCCCTTTAAAATGGCTGGCAAGTGTAAAAGTGAAAGTTCTCGTGGTGCTGAGAAGAAAAAGACACCCATTTTAGAATTTCTATGCATTATTTTCGCCTTTTCGACTTACGAACAATTCGATTTACGACCTGGTCGTCGGGATGGAACCCCATCGTAAGTCGAGGAGAGACTGTAGTTTAATTGCTTGATTGACCTTCTTCTCACAATGACATGAGAACTTTAGTTCATTGTCAACATACACACGCAGGTACTTTTTGTATTCAGTCTCTATTAATGCAATTTCTTGTCCCACTGGGACATGCGACGCACCTCCTTACTATTGGTACGACCCAGGTGCATCCTCTTACACTTCATGAAATTAAATCTTAGCAGCCATTTCTTTGACCACTCTTGAAGCTCACAGAGATCTTTCTGTGGCTCTTCACAGTCTGTTTGATTCTTAATTTCCCCGAGTTACTTGGTATCTAGCATCCGCAAACATTTGTATGCAGGAGTGTATAGCTCACTGGTCTATAATTATTCATGGAATGACGATCACCCTTCTTGAACATAGGACTCTCATAAGCCATATTCCAATCACTTGAGGACCTTTTGCTCATCCAGGCATTTACAGAACAGGATCTTCAGGGCTCAGCAAACTCGTTGCACAACTCTCTTAGCACTCTGGGATGCACAATGTCAGGTTTGGGACTCTTATGAACCTTTAGCTTTGACACTTCATTTCTTGTACCCTTTTCTGAGAACACAATGTGGGTCAGCGTTGTGTCAAACCGTCTGTCCTCAAATGCAGAATGATTGTTCGCATCCTCTCTTGTGAACACCGAGGAAAAGAATTTGTTTAACACCTCCACCTTGTCCTGGTCAGAATCTACGTAACCGCCAACTTCAAGCCTCAAGTCTGATACGCTTACTCGCATTTTTCATTTTGAGTTTGGGTAGTGGGAAAACGCCTTTGGGTTTAACTTGACCTCACTCGCAATCTGCCTCTGGAACTCTTTTTCAGCCCTTGTACACTCTTGACTTTGCTTGGTTCCTGGATCTGACATATACAATATTCCTCCTGTCTGCTTATCGTTTTTCCTAACCCACGTCTTGAATTTCTGAGTCGTCTTCTTAACTTTGCCGACCGCCGCAAGGTTCATATGTAGCAGTTTCCTTTTATTTCTGAGGCACTTGGTTTGGTTTTGGGTATATATTTATCGGTCAAATGGTTCACTTTACTGGCTAAGATATTCAGCATAGTGTCTGCATTCTTATACCTTAGTGAGTCAGGCCAGTGGATACCCCTCATCTTCTCCCTCACCCCGTCGTAATTACCCTTGTCATATTTGAACCTAGGCTTGCTTTTGCCATGAACCAAGTAACAGTTAAATCTGAAGGACAACATTAAATAATAATAATGAACGGTTTATTAATAGAGTTGCAGCCAGTGGCTGAAAATATACAAACTTACATGTGATTTAGACATAATAATATACGTTTAATACATTTACAGGGCTGTACAGTACATAAATCAGGAGCTGTTTATTATTTTAACAATAGATGGGATGGTGCTATTCTTATATTTATTAGTGCGGGCTCTTATGGGCTGAATTTTGTCGTAATGGCGGACTGTGCAAGGTGGGCGGGGGACTGCCAGTGGCAGTAGGTGGCGATGACGAGGATGGCGCAGTAGTCCACTGTCAAACCCTGCTAGTGGTGGAGGTCACTGAGGGATGGCATTTCCAGGGTGGAGACAGCGTCGTTGTAGCTGGGGAGGTCTGCGCTGAGCATGATTCTGGAGACCCTCTTCTGTACCTTCTCTAGCTGACGTTGTTGGGTAGAGTTGAGAGAAGACGACCAGGCTGGTGACATATACGTTAATTTTGGGAGAATAAATGCGTTGTAGATAGTCCTCAGCTCTGGCATGGGTGCTCCAAGTGACCTGAGTCGTCGTAGCATGTAGAGTCGGTACGAGGCTGCCTTGATTGTGTTGTTTACATGGGCCTTCCAGTCCAGTTTGTGGTCTATAGTTACACCCAGGAGTTTGGCAGACTGCACTAACTGGAGAGGATGGGCACCTACTGTAACTGCTGGAGCTTGCAATGGAGTGGTGACGGTATTGATGTGCATGACTACGGCGGTTTTGGTGTGGTTGATGGTGACCTTGTTCTCTGTAGTCCATGCCTGTAGCCTGTCCAGGGTGCCTTATAGCGATGAGTAGTCCGGTGAGGTGTTGTCCACTGTAAACCCCACAGTGCAGTCATGCAGGTACTTCCACCTGTGAGGAGTGTCCAATAGAGCGTCGTTGATCAGGATTAGGAAGCACAGTGGTCCCATCTTGGTCCCCTGGAGAACACCGCAGGTGAGGTGTTGGAATGTGGAGACAGAACCCTTGTACCTCACTGCCTGACGAAGCTCAATCAGGAAATCAGTGAGCCATGAGACCAGGTTGGTAGGCAGCCCTAGTGCAATGGCCTTGTTGATAACAGTGCAGTGATCAATAAGGTCAAAAGCCTTCCTGAAGTCAATAAGGGCAACGGCCAGTGATGTCTTACGTTTTTCCAGATTTTTGTGAAGAAAATCCAGGAAACTAACTAAACAGTGTGATGTAGAGGAGGTCCTCATATTGCCAAATTGCTGTGGATCAATTCACTGATAAATACTAGCAAATGCCCACTCAAAAAGAAAGTCTTCACAGAGTAGACTGGGAATAGGGGTAATGGCAACTGGCCTGAGGTAACTAGGGGACTGTGGGGTTGGAACCTTGGGGATAGGGGTGACAATAGAATTATGTGGTGACTGGTGCAAATGGGGGCTAGGTGTTCCAGCTTGGCCACCATACCCTCCTCATTAGTTATGATGGGGTCCAGCGCTGTGGGTAATTGTTCCCCCTTGTAGTGAGTCGGATCTTTAACATGTTGGAACAGAAAATTATCTCTATGAGTTTCTATAAAAAGAGCAGCGGGATTACTGTATTAAGGTCATTTGGCGTGGTTTCATTTCTTCACTCGATGTCGCCATAGTTAAAGTCCCCCATGACAAGGAGGTGACTATGGTTGAGCACAGTTGCATTGTCAATTAAGGCTCTTAAGTTCCTTTGGTTTAATAAGCTACAGTTTGGGGAGCTGTAGATACAACCTGGCTGGCTCTAAGATCTTGCCAAGCATAGATGCTTGAGAAAGGTTCATAATGACTCATATCCATCTTTATTAAACTCGCATTTCTCTGGGCCAATTCTCCTGTTCTTGTACAACAGTTCTACAACAATTACTATATCAGGTTGATGTACTTTGAGTATTAGTGTACATGACTTTCAAGCCGGAATTTGTTCTTGGTAATGTCTCTGATCTTGGTAGTGACTCCAGCCTCCCCCCATTCTCAGCAGCTGCCTTGTTTACTAAATTCATTGTATTTTATGGAGTGTGGTCAAAGATGACATTGTTAACATGGCGCTCGCCTCCTCCTGGGTGGGAGGTAGAGTGGGTGGGGGGTGTCCCACTGTCCCCTGGTTCTGTACTGTTGCAGTTACCTCCACTACCTTCCCTTTGTATATAACCTCACCTCACCCGCTTCAAGCACCACAGGAGTTTTTTGTGCTGTTCCCTCTGCAGTTAATATTCGTGCCTTCATTATATACAGTTCACTCTAACATATAAATCATTATAAGTGTGCACAATAAAGTGATCTTAAACCACTCTCTAGCTGCTATTTTCTGAATCAGACCCAGATCTCAACAACTCCTGCAGCTATGTCAGTATCTTTTGCAGGGTCTAACTGTCCTGTCATTCCTTCAATCTAAGGGAGTGAGAGCGGCTTTATTGGATAGAGTTGAGTACAGAGGTAGATAAAAATAATTAATACTGTATACATTCTACTACATAAAGAGTACTGTATCAAAGCACACACCTGGTGAGCAGTAAGGATATGAACATTAGGTTGTGTGGCCTCATCATCCAGGCTGGTGGTCTCAACCAAGGTAATCATCTGTGCCCCTTCATCTCCCAGGGGTGACACATCCAAGGTCAACCCCTCCATCTCCTGTAAAAAAAAAAAAAACAGAAAGAAGTTATTCCCTACTGTGTGCCCCCTGCCAAACATTATAATAAAGATCAATTGTGTGAGCTGTGGTCTAGTTTTTACAAATTTGAATGAATAAAAATAATCCATGACATACTTATCCTTCCTTAAAGGTGAAAAATATACTATAAGTGCAAATATTCAAGGCAATCCACCGGGGTTTGCTAGAGGGAGTTAGGGCTGTGTTAGATGGTGTTAGGACTGTGTTAAAGAGTATCAGGGCTGTGTTAGAGGGTGTCAGGGCTGTGTTAGAGGGTGTCAGGGCTGTGTTAGAGGGTGTCAGGGCTGTGTTAGAGGGTGTCAGGGTTGTGTTAGAGGGTGTCTGTGTTAGAGGTGTGTGTTAGAGGGTGTCAGGGCTGTGTTAGAGGGTGTCAGGGCTGTGTTAGAGGGTGTCAGGGCTGTGTTAGAGGGTGGCAGGGCTGTGTTAGAGGGTGTCAGGGCTGTGTTAGAGGTCAGTGTTGTGTTACAGGGTGTCAGGGCTGTGTGTCAGGGCTGTGTTAGAGGTGTCAGTGTTGTGTTAGAGGGTGTCAGTGTGTGTGTTAGAGGGTGTCAGGGCTGTGTTAGAGGGTGTCAGGGGCTGTGTTAGAGGGTGTCAGGGCTGTGTTAGAGGGTGTCAGGGCTGTGTTAGAGGGTGTCAGGGCTGTGTTAGGGGTGTCAGTGTTGTGTTGGAGGTGTCAGGGGCCGTGTTAGAGGTGTGTGTTGGAGGTGTCAGGGGCCGTGTTAGAGGTGTCAGGGCCGTGTTAGAGGGTGTCAGGGCTGTGTTAGAGGGTGACAGGGGAGAGGTGTCAGGGTGTTAGAGGGTGTCAGGGCTGTGTTAGAGGGTGTCAGGGCTGTGTTAGAGGGTGTCAGGGCTGTGTTAAAGGGTGTCAGGGCTGTGTTAGAGGTGTCAGTCAGGTTGTGTTAGAGGTGTCAGGGCTGTGTTGTGTCAGGGCTGTGTGTCAGGGCTGTGTTAGAGGGTGTCAGTTGTGTTAGAGGGTGTCAGGGCTGTGTTAGAGGGTGTCAGGGCGTGTTAGGAGGGTGTCAGTGTTGTGTTAGAGGGTGTCAGGGCTGTGTTAGAGGGTGACAGGGCTGTGTTAGAGGTGTCAGGGTTGTGTTAGAGGGTGTCAGGGCTGTGTTAGAGGTGTGTGTTAGAGGGTGTCAGGGCTGTGTTGTTCAGGTGTCAGTGTTGTGTTAGAGGTGTCAGGGCTGTGTTAGAGGGTGTCAGGGGCTGTGTTAGGGGTGTCAGGCTGTGTTAGAGGATGGCAGGGTTGTGTTAGAGGTGTCAGGGCTGTTAGAGGGTGTCAGGGCTGTGTTAGAGGGTGTCAGTGTTGTGTTAGAGGGTGTCAGTGTTGTGTTAGAGGGTGTCAGGGCTGTGTTAGAGGGTGTGTGCAGGGTGTAGGGTGTCAGGGGCTGTGTTAGAGGTGTCAGGGCTGTGTTAGAGGGTGTCAGGGCTGTGTTAGAGGGTCAGGGCTGTGTTAGAGGGTGTCAGGGCTGTGTGTTAGGTGTCAGTGTTGTGTTTGTCAGGTGTTGTCAGGGTTGTGTTAGAGGTGTCAGGGCTGTGTTAGAGGGTGTCAGGGCTGTGTTAGAGGTGTCAGGGGCTGTGTTAGAGGGTGTCAGGGCTGTGTTAGAGGGTGTAGCTGTGAGGGTGTCAGGGCTGTGTTAGAGGTGTCAGGGGGTTGTGTTAGAGGGTGGCAGGGCTGTGTTAGAGTGTGAGGGCTGTGTTTGTGTCAGTGTTGTGTTAGAGGTGTCAGGGCTGTGTTAGAGGGTGTCAGTGTTGTGTTAGAGGGTGTCAGTGTTGTGTTAGAGGGTGGCAGGGCTGTGAGAGGGTGTCAGGGCTGTGTTAGAGGGTGTCAGGGCTGTGTTAGAGGGTGTCAGTGTTGTGTTAGGGGTCAGTGTTGTGTTAGAGGGTGGCAGGGCTGTTAGAGGTGGCAGCTGTGTTAGGAGGTGTCAGTGTTGTGTTAGAGGGTGTCAGGGCTGTGTTAGAGGGTGTCAGTGTTGTGTTAGAGAGGGCTGTGTTAGAGGTGTCAGGCTGTGTTAGAGGGTGTCAGGGCTGTGTTAGAGGGTGTCAGTGTTGTGTTAGAGGGTGTCAGGGCTGTGGTAGAGGGTGTCAGGGCTGTGTTAGAGGGTGTCAGGGCTGTGTTAGAGGGTGTCAGGGCTGTGTTAGAGAAACTCGGTGATGTGGTAGCTGAAAAAATTCGTGGAGTGAGAAAATTTGATAAGCGAAGATTTTCTTAAAGGTGTACGACAAACTAATGAGACGAGGGATCAAGTTAGATGGACAAATATTCACAAAAATGCAAAATAATTACGCACTGAATAGGCACGTTGATAAATACCGTAGACATACAAATAATGGCAAATAGGAACTCGATTCAACTAAGGATACCCCAAGATAACCATTAAAGGTATATTTCATGATGAAAGGATTACTAGTGTCAAGAAAAATATCCAAGATTGAGGGGACACAAAGGCAATGCCACAGGTTATAATGTACTTTTAATCTGTCCAAGACACATCTATAAATCAAAACTAGGTAAAATCCGCGGCTGTGCAGACTTCTGGTTCAGCTTACTTTAACAGGTGGTCAGGCTTCCAATGCGTAATGACTTTCTTGAGACGACTGGACAAACAACGGGAAGATAAAGATGTTATGTATAATTACCATAGTTTTTTAATTCCACGTTCTAGTATAGTGCCATTAAATCGTGTTTTACAAACAGACGATGACCTTGACAGGCCTCGGGGTTTCATTATGTACACACACAAGCCACATAATGCACATACTGTATACATACAGTAGATGGTAAGATAGCTGGACTGGGAATCACCGTGAGGACTGTCATTTTCATCAGCCTGACTTGGGTTGACTTCAGACTTGTGGTGTTAGATGAACCACTACCTACCAAAAACCATAATCATACCCAAAAATAAAACACCATTTAATTGGCGGCACAAGTAAGAACTGTGTACGTGTAGTATATTTGCATGTGTTGCGTGCACTTGTTTGGGGTTGTGTGCACATACTTGAAAGCGAGTTGTAGGCACACTCGGGTGTATGCTGCGTTCATGTGTTTAGGTGTGTGCACGAGGTTGGATGTATACAAGGGTGTACTGTACATACCGATACACGCGTTTGACTGCCATACATGGAGAGCAAGAGTGTCAAGTTGTCAGACTCGAAGCTCTAATTTATGTCATCACTTTATTGAATAATTTTTACATTATTCATGATGCTCATGGTTGAATGTATGCGTGTGCACAAATGTATGTTGTGAATGTGTGTGTGTGTGTGGTGAACGTTTCTGCATATCATTATATCCTAAACAATTTACCAAAAACCTTGTACACGTAATCAAAGGTTCTGAACCAGTACCTTACACTAACATATATTTCATATACTGTACAATGCACATTTCTATGTCCTAATGCTTAGGGTACGTCCCATAAAAATTAATATACCTAAATAAATGTTCCGTGTTTTCCTTAAGGGATATGAATAAACTTTTAGTTTCGGAAATTAAAGGTGTGCGTTACCAAATACATTATTTTAATTAAAACACTAACTAGGGTAAACCGTGGCACTTGAGTGACACTTGACACATCATTATATCATTATAATCTGGTTGTCAAGGAAAATTATAATCGCGTCCACCTGATAGAAGCCACGTCGACCCGCCACCGACTTATTACATACTATATTATCGTCTTCGGTATTATTTCCGGTCATTAATTTATGATGGCAGATTAATTTACGGCCTACATACTGTATACTACTTCTGGTGAATGAAATATTTTCATATATTGGGTTTTAACATTTACTCTTCCTGTAGTGTGTGTACTGTACAGTACTATGTCCATCTATTTCATCATCAGTAGCGCTGTGTAACCTGCACCTCCACCCTGCCTCTCCATCTTCCTCCATTCCTAGCCTTCCCTTGATCCTCTTTCAGTATCCAATGCGATCACTGCCTTGGCATATCTTAGAGAGGTGGTTCAAGCGAGGAATATATCATATTTATGTAGGTAGGGGGCGAGGACTGGCCAGGCGGTGGCTGCCCTGGTCACTCGTCGGTTCAGTTGCCAGCCACCAGAACCACACAGGAATGCCAACCTAAATACACTGGGCCCCAAATCGGGTATGGCATTATCCGTACCCATTTTCATATGCTATCGTTCTAATGGTGTACGGAAAACGTTCATTTATCTAATATCCACTATAAGGCAGATGTTCTTACCTTGGCAAGGCAAGGAAACCCACAAAATCCTACATCAAATCTCGAGAGGTCGTGATGTTCCAGCAGTAAAATGGCGGTAAAGCTGGCGGGCTTGGTCCCGTTGATGGGCTGCGGTGCCACATGTACACTGTGGTAATGCTAAAAAAAAAATAAAGGAATTTGGTAACATTCTATCAGTATTTATATATATTGTTTGTGGTTAATAAAGAATATTTAGTTTTGTAATGTTAAGTTTTCTATGAACATGATTGTAAGTGAAGGAGTTGCCGTACATGAGTTACTATAGCACCAGTGTGATTGTTGTTGTTGTTCAACAAATGCCAGTGAGAGGTGCGCACTGTGCCGCGGCCATGGTCAGTGTTCTAGTGTCGTTAAGTTATCCTGTGTTCTAGTGTCGTTAAGTTATCCTGTGTTCTAGTGTCGTTAAGTTATCCTGTGTTCTAGTGTCGTTAAGTTATCCTTGTGTTCTAGTGTCGTTAAGTTATCCTGTGTTCTAGTGTCGTTAAGTTATCCTGTGTTCTAGTGTCGTTAAGTTATCCTGTGTTCTAGTGTCGTTAAGTTATCCTGTGTTCTAGTGTCGTTAAGTTATCCTGTGTTCTAGTTTCGTTAAGTTATCCTGTGTTCTAGTGTCGTTAAGTTATCCTGTGTTCTAGTGTCGTTAAGTTATCCTTGTGTTCTAGTGTCATCAAGTTATCCTTGTGTTCTAGTGTCATCAAGTTATCCTTGTGTTCTAGTGTCATCAAGTTATCCTGTGTTCTAGTGTCATCAAGTTATCCTTGTGTTCTAGTGTCATCAAGTTATCCTTGTGTTCTAGTGTCATCAAGTTAGTGTCATCAAGTTATCCTGTGTTCTAGTGTCATCAAGTTATCCTTGTGTTCTAGTGTCATCAAGTTATCCTTGTGTTCTAGTGTCATCAAGTTATCCTTGTGTTCTAGTGTCATCAAGTTATCCTTGTGTTCTAGTGTCATCAAGTTATCCTTGTGTTCTAGTGTCATCAAGTTATCCTTGTGTTCTAGTGTCATCAAGTTATCCTTGTGTTCTAGTGTCATCAAGTTATCCTTGTGTTCTAGTGTCATCAAGTTATCCTTGTGTTCTAGTGTCATCAAGTTATCCTTGTGTTCTAGTGTCATCAAGTTATCCTTGTGTTCTAGTGTCATCAAGTTATCCTTGTGTTCTAGTGTCATCAAGTTATCCTGTGTTCTAGTGTCATCAAGTTATCCTTGTGTTCTAGTGTCATCAAGTTATCCTGTGTTCTAGTGTCATCAAGTTATCCTTGTGTTCTAGTGTCGGCATCAAGTTATCCTGTGTGTTCTAGTGTCATCAAGTTATCCTGTGCCTAGTGTCATCAAGTTATCCTGTGTTCTAGTGTCATCAAGCTATCCTGTGTTCTAGTGTCATCAAGAGGTTATGCTTGTGTTCTAGTGTCATCAAGTTATCCTTGTGTTCTAGTGTCATCAAGTTATCCTTGTGTTCTAGTGTCATCAAATTATCCTGTGTTCTAGTGTCATCAAGTTATCCTTGTGTTCTAGTGTCATCAAAGTTATCCTGTGTTCAGAGTGTCATCAGAAGTTATCCTTGTGTTCAGAGTAATCATCAAGTTATCCTTGTGTTCTAGTGTCATCAAGTTATCCTGTGTTCTAGTGTCATCAAGTTATCCTTGTGTTCTAGTGTCATCAAGTTATCCTTGTGTTCTAGTGTCATCAAGTTATCCTTGTGTTCTAGTGTCATCAAGTTATCCTTGTGTTCTAGTGTCATCAAGTTATCCTTGTGTTCTAGTGTCATCAAGTTATCCTTGTGTTCTAGTGTCATCAAGTTATCCTTGTGTTCTAGTGTCATCAAGTTATCCTTGTGTTCTAGTGTCATCAAGTTATCCTTGTGTTCTAGTGTCATCAAGTTATCCTTGTGTTCTAGTGTCATCAAGTTATCCTTGTGTTCTAGTGTCATCAAGTTATCCTGTGTTCTAGTGTCATCAAGTTATCCTTGTGTTCTAGTGTCATCAAGTTATCCTTGTGTTCTAGTGTCATCAAGTTATCCTTGTGTTCTAGTGTCATCAAGTTATCCTTGTGTTCTAGTGTCATCAAGTTATCCTTGTGTTCTAATTAATAGTTAAGTTATCATGTGTTCTAGTGTCATCAAGTTACATCATGTGTTCTGGTGTCATCAAGTTATCCTTGTGTTCTAGTGTCCTCAAGTTATCCTTGTGTTCCTGAGTAGTAAATAAAGTTATCCTTGTGTTCTCAAAGCCTTATCAGAAGTTATCCTTGTGTTCTAGTGTCATCAAGTTATCCTTGTGTTCTAGTGTCATCAAGTTATCCTGTGTTCTAGTGTCATCAAGTTATCCTTGTGTTCTAGTGTCATCAAGTTATCCTTGTGTTCTAGTGTCATCAAGTTATCCTTGTGTTCTAGTGTCATCAAGTTATCCTTGTGTTCTAGTGTCATCAAGTTATCCTTGTGTTCTAGTGTCATCAAGTTATCCTTGTGTTCTAGTGTCATCAAGTTATCCTTGTGTTCTAGTGTCATCAAGTTATCCTTGTGTTCTCCAACTGCAGTTTTCTTGATCATTAGATCCAGTTCCGTGACTGCCATACCATACATGGAGAGCAAGAGTTGTCAGACTCGAAGCTCTAATTTATGTCATCACTTTATTGAATATTTTTCTCATTATTTATGATTCTCATGGTTTAACATGAGCCTTCCAGACTTCCAGTGGTTTTGTTGCATTTTTAACCAATATTCAGTCGAAGTTTTTTACTTAAAAGATGAATAGATGTCGTCTGGAGCTGTCTTCTAAACCCTACATTTACTTGTCTCAATTGAATAATAAGCAATATATGGGGTGCCCTTAATTTCTTTACCTTAACATTTTTGTAAGTCCATTGTTTATGTTATTAGCGTTCTCGGGGTCTCTTCTCGTCCTCCCAACATTAAGGTATTCATTGTAGGTTTGGTTGATTTTTGATTTGAGTAGTGGGTATTGTTGCACTTTTAACTAATATGCAGCCAAATTTTTTTTTTACTTAAAAGATGAATAGATCTCGTTGAGAGTTATCTTCTGAACCCTACTTTTACTTGTCACAGTTGAATATTAAGCAAGACATGAAAAACACATTGCTCTACTTGAAAGCCATATTGGTTAAAAATGCGTTTAACATATAGATTAATGCTGCCAACGATTCTAGCAAGAACATACTGCTTTTCCACCATAATTATAATTTTTATTGTTAATTGTTAGTGACTGTTCTTTTTTATCATTTATACAATAATACCATTGGCGAGCCATGGGAGGGGGGGTGCATAGTGCATGGGTCGTCTGAATCGCATTACACTAGTCATTTTGCCAAAAAAAAATGTAACCTATATTCACCTGAGCTCTGACCCATTGAGGATTAACAAAATGAAACTTTGATAAAGGTTTAGAAGTGGATCACCTCTTAATTTTTTATTATTGTTGGAACCTTTATGACTTCTTTTATTGTTCTTTTAATATAGCCAGAAAAAAATCTGTGAAAAATGTCAAAAAGGTTTGGATGCCTATTTTGAGTTTTTCTGGTAAATATTGCTTTGTTCTGTACTTTGGAGAAAAATATTTTAATAGGAAAATTTGAAATATTGGGTTTCTAGAAAATTTAATTTCAGTGCATATCAAGTAGGCTATGGCTTCAGTGAGCCTTGACAAATACCAGCAAAAGATACGTGAACTATACACTGTAACAGTAAGATGAGGTCGGTAGTTTATTACTTTATTTTATTTCCGTGACAGCCACACCAAGATGATTCTGCTTTGTGTTGTTGTGAGTATATGAATGAGGATGGGGAGCGCTCCCATGTGCTTCTTGCTTTCTGCAATTGCGATGCCATTGATGAGGCATTTGAAAGGTTAGTTTCCATTTATCATATCTTGAAGCACAGTTAGTCATAATGATAAAAAAGGCTGTGACAATTGTACTGAATCTTTTGCTAAATGTTTCAAGTATTCTTCTGTGGTTCGGGACAATAAAATGTGTAAAAGTGTACAGTGGCCAAAGTGTTTAAGGAATTTGTGGAAGTTTCTCTTCTTTAAGTGAAATATTCTTATCGTTGGAATTAGATGCCAGGTAAGTTTACATGAAGACCCATTTCTTGACTTACAAATGTGTTTGTATAATTTTCTCTCTATTCACAGGTTGTTTACTCTACAGTCCCTAGAAAGAGGAAATGTTAAAAAGGTCATAGACACTCTGTCAGATCGTCTCAGAATACCTTGGTGTGGAGGGGCCAAGAAGGTTCCATTGGATCTGTCTGGTGCTGTACTGTGTGTGATCATCACTGTTTTCTTGGGCTGTTTTTCATGGACTCTTACTGTTGTTACATATGTAGTTATCCTTCCAGCCATGTTGTATTCAGTTCATAGGTGCATCAGAAAGAAGGTTACTCATGAGAATCCCACAACTTATGGAGCAAAAGGAATAAGAGGCGTTAAGTATCCAAGATCAAGGTTTTATTTTGCTTGGGTGACAGTATCTCTTGCATCTCTGCTCATAATATATTATACACAAGTAATTCCTCATGTCAAGATTAGTCTTTATGAGAACTTTATCTTCATGGTCTTCACCTGCCTTTCCTGCACCTGTCTCTATCTCGTTCGTGCTACCTCTTGTGCTGGTTTTGAACCCCAAAACAAAGGTGTGGATGAAGAATGTGAGGAGGTAATTGAATCTGGAGCGTGGAGGTTCTGTGGAAAGTGTGAGACACAGGTGCCCAGGCAAGCTACACATTGTCGCACCTGTGACACCTGCTATCTGCTGCGTGACCACCACTGCATATGGTAAAGCTACTGTCAAGTTTTATGTATGGGTTATGACTTTTTCAGAAATTTTCACCTTCATTAACTCATAATTACCTCTAGTAAATAATTTTACACTCATAGATCCAGCTGGTATATGATAGAATTTCTTGCAACCATTTCTGGCTCCACTTACCGTACTGTACTGTATTATTAATTTACTTTCAGGTTGGACACATGTATTAACTGTGTGAATGACCGGTGGTTTGTGATTGGTCTGATTTGTGGCTTATGTGCCTTATGCTATGGTGTTCATCTGAGTCTCACCACAGTCTGCCACCCACAACATCTTGATGTCTACTTCACCACACTTCTCGTCCCTCACCGTTGTCCAGATGCATTTGCGAGCCTTCAGTGAGTCCCTGCAGGGGGTTAATGCATGTTCAAATGGAGAGAGTTTCCTCACCTTGAGAGTTATGTCACCACAGACTGCACAGCATTTTAAACCTTCCTTGGGGGAGTGTCCCTAAGACCATACTGTAAAGGTGTTTCTGGTCTTGTTAGTGAACTTTGTGAGGCACTAACTATACTGGGAGATAGTGCAAAATTATTGTGTAGTTCTGTTTTAGGGAGTTTGTAGGGTTAGTTTTACATTCCTTATTGTTGCATTAAGTTACCACCGTTAATGGGATGCAGTTAACAGTAGCACCAGTTTCTCTTTACCACCTCCACCCATATATCTTGATGGCTTTAGGCATACAAAACCCCTTGAACTAATATAAAATAATAGATTAAAGGATTGCTCTTTTAAATGTTTTTATAGTGAAGTTGGGACCGACACTTGGAACCCTCCCTCGTCCCATTTAAATGTCAAAGAGAAAAAAAATAGCATCTAGGAACAAAACTCCAACTAATAACATTAAACTTTGGGTAATTATGGCGCAGAAACAGCATGACTCGGATGCATTCTAGAGTATTCTCACCTTCATTTTATATCTGATTTCTTACCAACAATAAATGCTAACTTTGTCTCCTTAATGATTCCTGCCAGCTTTACAGTAAGAATAATGTGGTAATGTCTCACTTTCTTACCTTAAATTATTGTATCCACTTACATACTGTATGGACTTGAGAAGTACCATAGGTACAGATGAGAAGAGAAATTATTGTTTGGAAGGAATGTTTTAATTTTCTCATCAAGCGTATGTAGTGAGATAATTTAGATAATTAAAATCATCTGAAGCATTCAAGTACAGTACAGTAGAACCTCGATAAATTGGACTAATTGGGGCAGACCCCAGTCCAAAAACGTGAATTTGCTACTGGAGTTTAACAGTTAATTCATGTATAAGATTTCTGATAAACTTCCTATGCGCTCATGTCTGAAATATTGAATGTGTGTATCTTTATATAATTTAGCTAAATATCTTTCTCATCAGAAATGGTCATCCCAACGATTATGAATAAACTCATTTAGAAATACATCATTACGTCAAGATGAAATTGGACAGATTTGCAACAGCCAATTAGCTGTAACTCTTGAGGAGGGGGCAGAGCATCTCTTCTCAGCTGGGAAAAAATGCGCTATACATTAATATTAAGTTCTGATAGATGTGCTACAATATTATTTACTCAGTGCACAAGACAGATCCTGTGGTAAGCACCAGTCTTCTTGAGCAGTGACAACAACTGTGCTTGAGAGATGGTGAGTGCTGGCAACATTATTAGGGAGAGCGGTGTCAGCTGTACCAATCAGCTGTTAACGCTCTGTAAACAAGAGACTGAGAATATACTACAACGCAATAGCTCAATTGAGATTGAATGTGGGATTTTTTGAGGAAAATTAATTATTTTTCTATAATGTTTTATTAGTGTGGCACCAAATGAACCTAAATAATATGGGAATTATGGTGAATTGTATACTGTCATTATAAAGGGATGGCAGGCTGCTGAGCACGGGAGGTGGTGAGTTGTCCTTCTCTCCCCGGATACACACCAAATGTATCTTTGTACAGTATCTTAATACAATTCTTATTTTAATCCTATAATTCATTCATCTTAATCTATTTCATAATAGATTCTTATTATAATAATCGACTTCGGAGCTGCTTGGTTATTTCAGAATCACCCGAATTCAAATCATTTAATAAAAAAAAAAAATGAATTAAGCCCAAATCCAATTTATAAAGATCTGAATTAATGAGTGTACAGTGTACCGAGTTTGTCACCATAGAAAAGTTTTCTAATGTGTCTACATTTTATTTATGGTTGCTACACAAATAGGGTACAGTAGAACGTCGATTTAAAGCGATTCAATTTAAGATTATTGATTTAAAGTGACACCCACAATTAAGGACACTGATTTAATTTAAAGTGAATCTTTCCTATTTTGCGCGAGTCAATATGGCGCATCACATTTTATAATTCGCGCCTAATGTTTCTCTGGGCACGCTACACTGTCCTAAGGGCAAAGCTGTACTGTACATGTAATCAAAATAATGTACTAAATGATTACTAGAATTTTTGTCAAGTGCAAACTATAGCATGATTATATTCAAATTGATCACTATCTCATAAGAATTCCAGCAATGTAAATTATATTCTCCCTGGTCACTTCTATGGCATTTTATAAACAAAGCTAAAGGACATAAATAAACAAATAAATACTTCACAAGACCTTCAGTTCCAACTGTTAAATGTGTCATTGTCACCTCCCTCCCTCCCCATCTTCCCAGCCAGGGAATATAACTTGCATTGCTAGAATTCTTGCAAAACCGAATAATTTGAATATAAGCGTCATATGTTTTGCACAAGAGATAAAAATTTAAGCCCTTTGTAATAAAATAAATTAAAACTAAAATTTGTATGTCTAATGTGAACTATTGCATGTATAGTATATTCAAACTAATCACTATCTTATAAGAATTCCAGTAATGTTAATTATATTCTCCCAGGTCAGTTCAGTGACATTTTATAAGAGAAACTTAAAGTCACTCTTAAGGACAGATAAATAAATAAGCACTAGACTTTGGCATCAACAGTCAAACATAATGCCTCACCTCCTTTCCATCCAGTAAACAGACCATTTCATGTCCCTTAATTTTAGCTGTGTTGATTTATTATTGTTTTAACATAATACTACAAAAAACAATGTGTTTCTTTATTCTAGGAGATGGGCTAAGGTGCATCTGGGTAGACTCTCAGTCTTTTAAGTATTTTGCATTTTTCTCAACTACCAAACTAAATTATCCCATTGAAACAACACTTGGATTTAGTGTGAATTCGGTTTAAAGCGACCTCTCTTGGAACATATCTCGTGTTATATCGACTTTCTACTGTATACAGTACGCCATTATCCATTTTCTTCTACCTGTGTAAAGTATATAGGTGTAGGTAATGTTGGTAACAAAATGTTTAATTGTTTCAGATCAAGTTTATCAGTGTCGGGGGCCTGTTACGGTATACTCCTGGCAACGTTTGTAGCTGTAGCCCTGGTTCAACAACTAGTCTGTGTACTCAGTGGGGTTAGACTGAGAGAGTATAGGAGGAGAAGAGAGCTTCCTAACCAGTTCAGTTGCTGTTCTTTTAGAAATGGTTTTAGAAATTGCTTCGTTTTCTGGTGGAGACGGTGAAGGTATTATATATTTTACTTTACAATTGTGGGATGGGACCATAATTCTCCTCAGGAATGTGCTTTGTCACCAGTTGAAATACAAATTAATATAAAGATTGCTTTGTGATTCTAGACACAGAAAAACTCCTGTCTATACCAGTAGCTGGGGGGTACGGTACTTTTGTGCGTGAGGTGCATAGAGAATTACTCTTTAAATTACAGTATGTTAGTGGGACATTTAAGGTGTAAAAAAAAAAATGAATAACCATCTGTCATCCTGGTAATAACTGAGATAATGAAATTTAAGTTTAACATTTAAAATGTGGGAAAAAAACCCGACCAAGTGCCTTTTTATACATTTACATTTTTATGTTGAGCATAGTGCAGAAATTCTATTTTATCAGATTCTAGGTCAGTGGCTCCCAACCTTTTTTGCCTGCGACCCTAAATTTCCCAACAATATGGTGTCGTGACCCTCAGGCATATAATATAGTATATAGCTTGAATGTTAAGCAAAAATTTTTTTATGACTTTATGATAAGTACTATATTTTAAAAATTGTTTGAGGGCCCCCGCGACCCAACTGAGGACACCCTGCAACCCTGATTTGGGTCGCGACCTGAGGTTGGGAACCGCTGCTCTAGGTGGTTGGAATTTTTTTTCAAATTTTTAATATGCTAATTTAGAATGTTATCTCAGTTGATGAGAGGTTACACCCCCCCCCCTCTCTCCTCCATTTTTTTTATACATCTTGGATGTCCCACTAACATAATATACAGAGTAATTCTCTATGCACCTCATACATAGAGAAACCCCTTGTATCGAAGGAGTCGTTATTATTATTAAAGCTTAGGTGATAATTCCCAAAGAACTTGAGTGTTACCTGATTTTTTTGTAAAAATATGTTTTTCAATGTAATATGCACAATAGTCATGTAATTTATATGATTTTACAAATTGAGTGTTTATGTAGCACTACTGTATTTACAAGTTGAATTTCTACTGAAAGTATTACAAGATACTGTACTGTCATGTTGACGAGACCCACAATGATGGAAACACTGTACACCTTGATGCAAGGTATGAGGGAAAAACCTCAAGTTATCATATATCTTTATTGAGCTATTAGTGTTGTAATAAACAATTTAACTCATGGATGGTAACAATATATGCATAGAAGTTGTGTTAATAGGCCAATAATTTCCCCAAACTAATCACCGCTAATATGGAAAAAGTCCAACTACTCCTACAAGAGCTCCAAATTAAGGTATTGTTTCACTATTTTAGATTATTCAGTAAATCATCTGTACTTTGACTAAACATTAACAATGAGACTGGTTTTATACAGCATTAATTGAATAACTAATATAAAGTGATGGTAACTGAAGGTGGTAGTGTGTGTAAATCTAATACAGTAATGTCCTGCCTAAAGTCTATGTAATGACAACGTGAAGTATGATGCTAAATGGTATAAAATATATAACTACCCGGTAAATTATCAAATCTTAATTAAACAACTCTTGTAGGCTTTTGAGTTACTTCAGCAAGTATAAAGAATTTACAGTTCTCATGCATACCTTATCAGATATATAAATGATGAAATGAAAATGATAATGCTAAATTAGAAGGGTAACAAAAGCACAGAAATTATCACTTGATAAATTTGCCTGCAAGAAGTTGATGATTGTAGATTCAGCTGTCACTTGGGGTCTGAATCAATATGGAGCTCCTGTACTTAACTGATTCCTAGGATACTGGATAGCAGTACAGTGGTCCCTCGGTTAACGAACTCAATTCGTTCCAGAGGGTCATTCATTAACCGAAACCATTGTTTCAATGGGATATTGGGTAATTGGTTCCAGCTCACAGAAAAGTATATACAAAGTAAAGCCAAAAATGCATTGTCAGAAACACTCCTAAAATTCCCCTTAAATCAATCAATCAATATATATATATATATATATATATATATATATATATATATATATATATATATATATATATACACACTAGAACTCTTAAATCACTACTGTAATGTGATACAGGTGATTAATTTTATCTTGTGCAAAATATATGACGTTTATATTCAAATTATTCGCAGTCTTGCAAGGATTCCAGAAATGCAAATTATATTCTCCTAACTTTAGTCTGAGATATTATATAAGATAAACACTTTAAAGCCTAATGAAAACACCAAACTTCTGTCTGGGAAGGCAGGGGTAGGGAGGGAGGGAGCCAGCGAGCGTGGGGGGAGGTGAGGTGTATTTTGATTGACAGATAGAGTCTGGTGAAGTATTTAATTTGTTTATTTACTGAGTTTTTGTTTTTAGCTCATCAAATTCATGGAAATTACCAGGGCAGAATATAATTTACATTGCTGGAATTCTTATAAGATAGTGATTAATTTGAATATAAACAAGCTAAAATTTGCATTAGACATACAAATTTTAGAACTAATTTAAGAATTTTATTAGAGAGCAAAAATTAAATTTTTTGTGCAAAATATATGACATTTATATTCAAATTATTCACTGTCTTGCAAGGATTCCAGCAATGCAACTTATATTCTAACTTTAGTCTGAGGTATTATATATGATTAAAACTTAAAACCTGAAAACCCCCAAATCTTTCTTTGGAAGGTGGGGGGTAGGGAGGGAGGGGTGACAATGACATGTTTGACAGTTGGCGTCTGTGGTGTGAAGTACAGTAGTACCCCGATTTACGCGGTCAATTGAACCCACAGGGTACCGCGTAAAGTGAACAACAGAACATATGGGATTAATTCCAATAGAGACTGGCCCGACCCCCAAACTCCACTTTTTGACGACACACAACTATGTTGTAGTAAAAATATTATCTTAATTTTATGATGGTATGCACACACAATTAATAATTAAGAGAAATATCAATAATATTAGATTTTTTAACACTTACATTAGTCGAAAAGATGGCTGGGCACACAGGGATGGAGGATTGGTTCCGAGGCAGAGGGCAGATTATTGGCCCTCACCTGTATCGCTTGTATCAATTGTATCACTATCCACCACATAGGCTTGCAGGGCCTCTTTGTCAAACCCCTCAAAGTCCATATAAGTCCATATCCTCACTATCACTGACTTAGGCTGGCTGTGGCGGGTGAAGAAATCCTTAATGTTTTGATGACTGGGCGACCTTGTGCGCATCCTGCCTGCGCCGCTTCCCGCGTATATGAGTAGATGCACCGCGGAAAGTGAAAGTTCGGTTCTGGCGAGGCACCGCGTAAATGAGAAATCGCGGTAAGTGAAACCGCGTAAAGAGGGGTAATACTGTATTTAATTGTTAATTTATGTCCTTTAGCTTGAGTTTTTGTTTTTTGCTTATAAAATTTAATAGAAGTGACCGGGGTGAATTTAATTTGCATTGCTGGAATTTTTATAAGATAGTGATAATTTGAATGTAAACATGCCATAGTTTGCACTCGACAAAAATTTTAGTAATCATTTTGTACATTATTCTGATTACATGTACAGTTCAGCTTTGCCCTTTGGACAGTGTGTGCATGTAAATGAGTTTCAATAAATGAATAAAGTTACATACATGAGCCAAAAATAGTTGAAAAACTTTTTGTAGACAGAGCTTGGATGGCTAAATTTTAGAATGACCAATAATTTTAATACAGTACTGCATAAAAAAATGCACAAATATTAAAGAGCACAATTTTCTTGATATTTACGCCAAAGGAAACGAATGTAAACACACAAAAGATTACTGAATTGGCTGAGTGCCTCCTCAGCTTATCAGCTGATGTACAAAACAAAACGTGATTTTCGTAAGGATTTCGTAAATCAAATTTTTTTTTCGTTGACTGAATTAAAGATTCTTATGGAAGGTAATTCGTTAACTGAGGGACCACTGTATAATAAAATTATATATGGTCCTTTGCAAAAGACAACAAGCAGTTCAATGATGACAATTCAAGATTTTACCAAATGAATTTGGCTCAAAATTAAAAAAAAAAAATATATATATGCTTGACTGGATAGACTAATTCTTGGATATTAATATTCCACAAAGGCAATAAGAGTGCACAATAATCCCGAAAAAAAAAATTGCTTACAAATATATATTTAACTTCATACTTTGCCTAAAGCTCAAATGGAAAAGGAGTGGGGAGGGGTCAGGTAAAAACCATGACCTTGCTTTTGGAGTCTGGGATTAGGACAACCTGTGAAAGTTTACACGGCATTCTTGGTAGTACTGTATGACAAAAAATAACCAAGGAGTTAATACACGGGCTGTTTCATCTTTCTATTCACAGCTCATATTGATAAGAAGTTATAAAACAATGCACCTTCCCTTTCATGTCAATAACAATCAGTAGATGACATGCCTCTAGTCTTTCCTTAGCCTACCAAGACAAGTCTTGTCCCTTTCAAGTTAAATCTGAACTAATTAACAAGGCACTTTTCACATGTATGGAAGAATAATTCGAATATACAGTACATTCTTAAAAAAATTATTACCTACTCTACATTGGCAAATATGTCTGTAACTGAATGCCTGTTATCTTATTCGATTGGGATGCAAGACTAATATTCAAGAGACAATTCAAGAATGGGGATTTGTCAATATACCTTTATACTACAGTACAGTATTAATACTAAGATAGAGCATGATGAAACAAACATTTGGCATGATTTCTTAAAAAGAAAACATGAAAAATATAAAGAGTAAATTACAGCTGTCAAATATAATTACCCTCCAAAATAGAGAAAGTTTTGGCAAAATCAAATTTTTGACAACCCACTGCTGCCTACTGCTGAGAACTTGTGTCATAATTTCTGTATTTCTTCCATTAGCACACTTCAAAGAGTGGTGTAAGCCTTAAGTGAAATACAGTACAGTAAAGCCTCCAATAACAACGGTTTTACTAATGACGATTAATATTTAAGACCCTGGTATATATTTAGGACCCAATTCAATTTACACCATTTTTTTCTTCGCATTTACGACGAAACTAGAAGAAAAAATCATATAAATAATAACTAAATCCTGATATGTATTATACACACACAAAAAAATGCCTTGCTCACGGCGGAGGCTGCTGGGCTTTTTAGTGGCGAGTGGTGACGCCAGCATGACTAGTATAAACAATTGCAGCTGGCAGGCCATTTGTTTTCCCGCACCTGAACAGGAAAAGGAGAAAAACTTTCTCAGGTTTCTTACGGCATTTTTGCGTCCCTATTCAACATGAGCAAAAGAGCAAGTGATGGTAGTGCTGGTTCAAAAGCTAATAGAAAGTGTATATGCTCAGCCGAGAAACTAGATGTGTTAAAACGATATGAAAAAGGTGAGAGGTCTGTGGATATTATATGGAACAAACAATGAACATATTTTCTGAAGTGGATCCATTAACAGAACGAAACATTAAAATTAACAGGGACAAGAAAAATGCAAATGACCTCTACATAAAGATGCATAATGAGAAAAGAAAGCAGCTGTGCAAGGTTCTTTCGACAGCTTTATTATTTGAAGGCCTAAACCATCAACTTCAGCTACACCATCAAATTCTGCATCATAAGCAGCTTCAACAACAACTTCAGGTTCAATAACAGTTTCAGCAACAGCTTTATGGAAAGCTACAGCTTCAGCCAGAGTTGAATCTGATGACTTCATCATGAGTAAAAACTCACACAACATCATTGGCTGTCCTTATGTTTCCGACTTTACCACCATTGGCGAGTAGAATTTTTGTTTTACATTCATAAGTATTATTTAAAACATATATGAACAGTAAATAAGTGTTGCTTTCATATTCATATGTAGAGAAATGACGAAATGTTTTCACATGTACGCACTTACTGTTCATACGTTGGCATTCCCAATCGTCTCGCCTTATTTCTTTACCATTAGTGGTTAACTACTTTTATTGTCCCATTTATTAACATTACTTAAAATATACATAAAGGTATTCATTTTTTTTTACATTAAGTTCATTACAGCCACAACCAGGGTCTTATTTTCTTCAGTTTCTTATGCAGAACCATCGTCACTCATGAAAACAATGCCGTCTTGTCTCTTCGTGTGTTTTAATATTCTACGTATTATTAATGAATTGCATTGTTCATTTCACATATATAAACATTAATTCAATCAAATACATATTCAGTAATAAACAATAATGAATCTTTTGTACATAATCTTAAGATAAATGACTATTTCCTTGAGTGCACACATATACATTGGCATTCCACATGTCTCACTTTTTTCTTTAATATCAGTGGTTACTTCTACTGTACATTAAATAACATTAATTTAAACATACATATGTTTTACATTAATTTTGCTACAACAACAACCAGGGTCTTAATTTCTTTTACATTAATTTTACTACAACAACAACCAGGGTCTTATTTTCTTCAGTTTCAGGTGGATAATTGACATTTTGGGTGTAAACACTGACAACAATGCCGCCTCTTATCCTCTTGTGTGTTTTAATATTCTACGTATTATTAATGAATTGTATTGTTCATTTCGCATATATAAAGATTAATTCAATCAAATACATATTCAGTAATAAATAATAATGAATTTTTTGTACATATTCTTAAGATAAATGACACAGTTTTCTTAAATGTGCACGTACATTTTGGCGTTCCCAATCCATCTCGCATTTTTTTTTTGCCATTAGTGGTTAGCTACTTCTATTGTTCCATTATTAACATTAAATAACATATATATATATATATATTATATATATATATATATATATATATATATATATATATATATATATATATATATATATATATATATATATATATATATATATATATATATATATATATATATATATATTCATTTTTTACATGAATTATACTACAGCTACAACCAGGGTCTTATTTTCTTCAGTAGAATCATCGTCCTGGACTCCCGGCTGTAAATACTAACGAAATTAATGGCGTCCCATCTCCTCTGTATTCATTTATATTTATAAGGTGCATTCGTAAACATTATTTAAAGAATATATGTTTGCATTTTTCATTAATTTTATTGTTTGGAGGGAAAAGAGGGTAAAAAGCCACACGAAAGATTTGAAAAGGTCACACTAGGGAATGAATCTCATAATTATTGCTTTATTTTAATGGTAATTAATGATTTACGATACAGTACGATGATTCACCTTACACTGCAATATTGGAGGACACATTACCGTCATTATTCAAGGCTTTACTGTACAGATAATTTTTTTGTACAATAATACATAAAACAAGCCACAATGTTCCATAAACATCAGGGTAATTTTTTAGTACAATTAATTATCAACATGGGAAAACGAGCTCATTATGAGTTGGGCGGGCCATAGACATTTCCAAACATTAAAGAGAATATGAACAGGAATCTTAATGTATGGAAAAATATTTTTAAATTCACGTCAGATTCATGTATTAATGTAGAAATGAGCATCAATAACCAGGGGGTCTCACTGGAGACAGTTACAAGGTCTATCTCTATACTTATAAAAGGTCATCCAACCATAGCTGCACCAAGTAAGACAAATATAAGTAAAAATGTCAGACCAAAAATGTACTAGTCATTCCTTTCCTATGATAATTATTGTCTTAATAGCAAGAAGTCTGATTATCTGATTTAAATGAAAAAAAATGGAAAAATTACCCTAAGCTCTGAGAGCCTGGATGGACAAACTTATTTCATATCCACCCAATTTGAAATGAAATTAGAAAGTATCAAAATTAATATTACCATTTTGTTTTCAGACATTCCACATACGTGGTGTTCAATTGATTCATTGGATTATTGTGGACTATAAAATTAATAAGTGTTGATGGAAATATACTGTTACAGGTTCTTCCTTTCACTGTAATATAAGATATTTTTTTTCTATTTTTGAGTGAAATAAAAAGTGTGATGGTCAGTACACAAACTCTTTATGTAAGGAGTTACGGTTTTCTCATATTCATATTTTATAAAAATATTAATTGTAGCTAATAGCTATCAGTGGCTGGCTGCCAGAAGTTTCAGTAAGTCCAAAAGACTGTGCTACTTCTCATAATTTGGTCAGGAACTAGTACCACTAGTTGTCAATTATAAAAATATATTTAATATTATCTTCAATTTTGCCAACTTCTTGTCTTCCAACTAATCTGAACTGTAGCACTAAAGAATTACTGGTATAATTTATACATAAGTCCATATACTGAAATAACAAAAGTCTGCAAACGCTGTGAAGCCTACGGCTACTTCCTTCTGTAATCCAATTTGTTTCTTTACTGACATCTCATTGAAATATATTTTATCCTTCAGTTTTCCCAAGATAAAATCCAACACAAATTATTCTAATGATTTCACAAATTAAATCAATGTTTCAGTGACTGTTGTCAGCAAGTGAAAGCTGTTAACATTTCAAAACAAGTTAAACTTTGTCCTCACACAAAGCTACACAAAAAATGGATCAAGTTTCACTGAATGGCATCGAGAGGTACCTCTTATGTTTCTGAAGTAGTGTTTGTGTGTGTGTGTGTGTGTGGTTTTCCCATATATGCCATCCACTCTTAAAGTAATAGCTACTATTTGTTAAGAGAAGACAAGTGAATAGGAGAGTGCAAGTGAGCTGTCTCCTCTTTATCCTCTATTGTATTTCCCCAGAAAGGCATGACAGTTGGGACAACTGTGTTCAACATTCATGCAGTCATTAATACAGCAGGGAACCAGGCAGCAGCCCATCACACCCCTGTCAACAGAAAATGCATTGGTTTTAAATTACCGGTACAGTCGTGGTGAAAAGTAATCATCAACCCCTCCTACCATACCTGCAAGCTCAAGGCCTTTATACATGATAGGTCACAAAAGGGTGGGGGAGGTATGGATGGCGGGAGAGCTAGGGGTGGCAGAACCAGGTAAGATAGGAGGGCACACGTCAAGGGTGTATGTGGTTTCAGAATTATCCTTAACACCTGAAGGTGTTGAGGTTGGTGGATGTAACTTAACATTGTCAGCCTTAATGATACTGGCAGCTGATAGGCCTAAGGCCCAAACAACCAACCAACCAGGAGGGCAGGTGACCAAGGAGGTGAAGGGGAGCTATCATATGGACTTATGCTTTCCCTTAGTTATCAATGCCTTTACTTGAGATTCTGGAGAGGGAGAGGAATGCGAGTGAGCTTTTGGCAGGTAATGTGCCATTAGGGTTGATAAGGCATCTGGCTTCTGTGAGGGAAAGCCCTGCTGAACAACATAAAAGAGCCGGGGTTGTGACTTGCTTACCACTAGTACAGCATGCCATTCAAATTCGCGGGGGTTAGGTTCTCAAAATGGCCACGAATAACATTTGCTGTAAAAATAAATGTATATTTCCTTTATGTGTTTGCCCTTAGAACAATTATATACAGCTAGACCCCGACTTACGACGGGGTTAGGGACCCAAATCCAGGTCGTAAGTCCGACATAGATAAAAAAAAAAAAAAAATTAAATTTTTATTTAAATGAAAAATCTACAACGAAATACAGTATAGTAAAAGTAATAAATAATGAGGAATGGATACAGTGTGACTGAGCACTTACCTTTAATGTAGTCAGCTGAATGCACATGAGGCCTCCATAATTTTGTAATTATACATGGAGACTACATTAACTGGAAACGTTTCGATATAGAAAATGTAAATCATTTGGAGAAAAAAAATGGTCACAACTGCGGCGATCGTAAGTAAGGTCTATGTATATATATATATATATATATATATATATATATATATATATATATATATATATATATATATATACATATATATATATATATATATATACATATATATATATATATATATATACATATATATATATATATATATATATATATATATATATATATATATATATACATATATATATATATATATATATATATATACATATATATATATATATATATATATATATATATATATATATATATATATATATATATATATATATATATATATATATATAGAATTGTTCATAGGGCAAACACACAAAGGAAATATTGAGTCTACCCTCAAGTCCACTTCGTGCTTTGTTATTAATAAAGTATGGAGTGGACTTGAGGGTAGACTCAACATTTTTAATAAATTTTTTTTCTGATTATTTCATGAAAGGATTTCCCATTATTTATTTGTATGTGTTCTGTATATACAATACAAGTAAAGGGAATTACTGTCTCTAGAACGAATGGCTCCCTGTCCTGGCCGCAAAAATGCCAGCACCTTTAAACTACCCTAAGACATTCTTGGGTACATCCAGGATGTCATCCGCGAATAATAGAGGACCGTGAAATAAAAATCCACAAATTATCCGGGCGTACTGTACCACTAAACTAGTTTGTCACTTGATCACTTCCACCTCTTACCACTACCATTCTTGGAAAAAAAATTGGGGGATAAAAGGTGACTTGTCCACCCTATATTAAAATTATTAGAGTTGTGAAAATCAATGCAAGGTGATAAGGTGGTAGTGGCAGTAGTGTCACGCAACTGCTCCACACTCAGCCCAGGATGGATGCTAAAAAACATTGATTATCGAGTCGCTGGGAAATTATCGGTTTGCGTGTGGCTGGCTACAACATGCCAGAAATTGCAAGGGAGGTTGGGGTCACTGTGAAACATTGGTTAACCTGCTCGGAGGAGTCTGGAAGTATTTTTGATGGTTTGCTTTCATTTGATAATTAAAATGATTAATTTTATGTGTGTAATATAAACAAAACATTTGAACTCTTAATTCATATAAATTATTAATTTTAGGCCGGGGAGACCAAGATTGAGAGGCAAGGAGGACATTGGTTGGGCTATTGTGATTCTGTACGGCTTATGTTGTAAGTATTAAAAGTAAATTTAATTTCCACCCTCATATTCAATATTTTTCCTCCTATCAATGTTATTATAAATACTGTATCTAATTACCGTTGCTTAAAACCTGAACCACAACCTGAAAAAAAAGGATAAATAAGGAAGTGGATGACACATTATAATAATCATAAAATAAGGGTCCTCATCTATTACTCTTTCAAGCATGTAAACTTTAAATAATATAGTGAAGAAAACTTACATCCTTCCTTCCTTTATGAATTTCCATGCATTCTTCAATCTCCCCCCTTCTCTGATGAGCAATTTGCATTGCCTCCCCCCCCCGCACCACAAGTCCACTAGTCTCCCTCTTCACCTCAAGTGACTTACTTACCGTGCAGAAATGACCCGGCCAAGCACAGGGGTTAGGTGGTGGAGTGGATGATTACTTTTGACCGTGACTGTATCATTCCTTAGCTCATTGCTGCACCACATTTTGCAAGTAATCATTGTCACTTAAGCTTATATAATTATACTATACACACATTCACATATGATTTCACATTTAAAATATGAGGGGATAAATACCTACCCAAGAATACAGATGATGAATCCAGACAACCAAGCTACCATGGACGGGGACAACTTAGTAGCAGTGTCAACATCTGCGTGGCAGTGAGGACATATCATATGGGTAGATTGAGATCCTAGAGGGACCACTGTTGTCACAACAGCAGTTGGAGCACCAGCTGTTGGTAATAAATAATTATTAGCAATAACTTTACTGAAAAATGCTTAACTATTTAGTGGAAGAAAATGTTAAACTGGGACAGGTACCATCAGCAAATTAATATGAAAAAATAAAACAATAAAAATTATGTTACATACAGTACTTACCATTCCTTTGTTGCATCACTGGTGAAATATATTAATTCATTTTATACCCAGGTTGACAATCCCTTATCCGAAATCCTTGGGGCCAGATGTGTTTCGGATTTCAGAATGGTTAGGTAAGTACAGGATCAGGTCCCACCCGGGTACAGGTCACCGACTCATCGAGGCCTGAGGGGCGAAAATGTAATAATAATAATTATAATTATAATAATAATAATAATAATAATAATAATAATAATAATAATTCATAGGTCTACAGTAGGTCGTGTTTCTCACTTTTGATCTTTTTCATTCTTGTATTTCTTTATTATGGTTATTTTATTATTATTATCATTATTATTTTATTTTTGTGTATTTTTTATTATAAATGTTATTTACTATGAACTTATTATTATTTTTATCATTCTTATTATTACATTTTCGCCCCCCAGGCCCCGATGTGGATCAGTGACCTGTGCCCGGGTGGGTTAATCTCCGTGTAAAAAAAAAAAAAAAAAATCGGTTTTCAGATATTTCCGTTTTCGTAATTTCGGATAAGGGGTTGTCAACTACTATAGTATAATATAAAAATACTAATATTGTACTGAAAAATCTTCTACAAGAAATGCAAGTGTAAAAAATTTCTTTGTTTATTATTTAAGGAGAGACAAGCAGAAACACATAAATCTCTGCAAGTATTGCATATACAATACAGGTATTATTCTAGCTTTGTCACATGACCAAGATGAGAAATTTTAATTCAACAAAGTCAGGGGATGCCAATATACCTTGTGTTAAAGGGTTGAATCACATGTGAAGTCAATTCACATAAGAAGGAAAAACATGCATAGGGAGAGAATTTCAGTTACTCATTGCTATTACAGTGGGGTATGCTATAACGAATCTAATTGGTTCTAGAACCTTGTTCGTTATAGCAATCGTTTGTTATAGGATTAATCCGTTCCAGGCCCCCAAATACAACCACTTAACACTGAAAAATATAATATAAAATTGTAAAAATTGTAAAAAAGTGCATAAATATGCATCTAAACCCCTGAAATAAAGAATATCATTAATATTTGTAATAATAAAACAATGAATTAGAAAAAAAAAAAAAAAATTTAAATTATGTTCGTTGTAGGAGTTTCGTTCGTTATAGTATTCTCAATTTTATAGGTAAAACCGTTCGTTATAGGAATATTTGTAGTAGGATCCGTTCGTTATAGCATACCCCACTGTACTGTAATGGGAATAAATATACAATAGTTTGATGCCAAAATTCTTAACATCTGAAGAGTGAGTTCTGTGAGGAAGGTAAGATGTTTGCAGGGAGAAGGTTCTACTGAAAGGGCTTGTGTGACACCCATTCTGATTTGACACCCATTCTGATTTGATATTGTCTGAGATAGTGGACAAGTGATTAATAATTAATGATTGTTCCCATGATCTTGAGATAACAATGGCAAGGGCTTTAGGTCAACATAAATGGCAATTTTCCACAAGTTTAAGTTAAGATATCAGTAGACAGTGAGACTTACAAAGTAGACTTTTTAAGTATGTGGGAGACATGTCACTTGGGTTATGAGCTTTTGATGAAATTTGAAACTAAGAAAGGTGAAAAAATATTGCAAATAAAAGTGAAGTGTAGGCATAAGAAGGGAACTGGTGGACTGGAATGATGGAGAAGATAACTGTCTGGATCAGATAAGTTCTGATGCACATGGAATCAAAGTGATTTACTTCTTGTTGATGTACAGTTGTACTTAAGAAATTAAGGGGGGTCTTGGAGGGGGAATGGTATTATTGACAAGAAAAAAATGCCAATTCTGTATGAACTGGTTTCATGTGCAGTATTGTAATAATAAATGCCCTGTGTGGTTGGGGATTACAAGAGCCATTTGCATTCTGTGGTTTTCTGTCCTGACAAGTTAAACCACAGAAGAGAAGCAGGATTACTGTACTCCTATGGGTTAGAGTAAGAGATACTGTAGTGAAATTCATTCTGCTATGTACAGTATCTCAAAAAAGTAACTGCCAGGATGGGTCTGATGACTTCCAAAATGCTACATGTAACTTGTGATGTCCTGGGAGGGTTGGTATGTGTGACTCTGTGGCATACTGATCCTATTATATTTGGTAACCAATCATCATATTAATTATGCTGAAATAAATACACATTGCATTACTTAAATTAAACTATACACCAAAGTAAACACATGTTCCACAGAGTGTGGGCCGATACTTCTTTGAGATACTGTACTGGACAACTCTGCTTCAAGTGAAAATTTCTGGACCTGGAATCTGATAACCAAGTAATGTGTGAGCCAATATTTATGGCAATAACAATGTACACCATCTCCAACACTTATAGGTACAGTTACAGGCTTAATACTCTAAGCTCCATATTATACATCTAACTAAAATCAGCGCAGGAAATATTGTACTGTACTGTATTGTGACATAATAGTTGGTCAGTCAAATGTTCTTAAAATAAAGTATGGATATGAATTAAACCAAATAATATTATAATATTGGACTGAAGTTAAAATAATAATTGTAGGCCTATTAACCATATGGAATATGTACTTGAGTACCCTGTATTATACTGCACATTAATTTCACCAATAAAAGCAAAATGTAAGTACAGGTTGTACCTCTCTAGTCCGGCAACCTCGGGACCTGACCGGTGCCGGACCATGGAAATTCACCCTTTTCCCGGACAGATAGTGACTTGCGCTTACGTTTGCACCACTTTCACTGCTTCGTGGTCTCTTTGAAGACATATTGAAGGGTTAAATGTCGTACAGTAGCTTCTCAAATTTCGCGAGTTTTTAATTCAACGTTTTTATTTAGACAAAAAAAAAAAAAAAAAAACCATTACATAATTTAAAATTTTGGCGGAAAACTTCGAATTTCAGCGGGTTTGTTTTGTTTCCGCCAATTTCGAATGCGTGCTGTCGTGTAAACAAGTCATTTCTCTTATGTACTAAGATTCATTATTGTTTATTACTTTCAGATGTCTTTTTTATTGAATTAATGTTTATGTGTGCCAAGATGGAGTAGCCACAATTCATTAATATCGTAAATACTAAAACACCGCGAGGAAATGAGACCTTGACAAAACCGTTGATTACAAACCAATGACTGAGTGGTTCTGCATATAAAACAGAAAAATAAGGCCCTGGTTTGTAGCTGTAGTAAATTAATGTAAAAAGAAAATTAATATGGTTGTTTTAAGTAATGTTATCTAATGTTAATAATGAATAAAAGTAGCAAACCACATATGTTAAAAAGAAAAAATTGAGACTGCATATGTAAAAACATATCGTCATTTCTCTACATAAAGAATATAAGCGCAACATATTTACTTTGTTCATATGCAGTGACCCCTCGTTTAGCGAACACCCTCGGTTAGCGTAATTTTAGATTAACGAACTGCCTTCCATAGGATCTTCAAGTCCGGTTAACGAAAAAATTTAAACTAACGAAGTTCTTCTGAGCCGACCTCAACATGTTTTAAACACTGACCAGACAGCAGCTTTAGTATCAATCACCAATACGTGTCGGTTCTCGGGCCAAATTCCTAACTATTTTAGTAAATGTCAAAGTTTATACTATTCAATAATTTTACAAAAGTTTAATATTCAATTTTTTGAGTCATTTTAACAATTAGAGGCAAGTGAAGGTAAGTATTCAGTTTAATCATGACATCAGCCTCAACACATATAGCAAAGTCGAGATCTCTCTCTGTTTTCGCTGGGTAACATCTTGCTTGAGACTCTCCTTCAACTAAGCAGCTTTTTCTGTGTTTCCAAACAAGAATTATTGGTCATTTTTGAAGAATTATTTACTATATTGACAATATATAGTGCAATTGAGTGTTATTTTTAAAAATATTCTTTGTTACAGCTAGTTTAACTTTGAAAAATACGATGTTGCCATTGTTTGAATCAGCATGGGGCCCTAGAGATCCAAGCGATTTCAATCCAAATGAAGCGGGAAATAATAAAAAAACACGAACAAAGGTATTAAATCAAATGTGCTATGCAAAAGAATATGGCATGTAAATATCAACTGTCAATAAACCAATTCTTTCTAAAAAGACAAATTTAAGAAGTGAGCATTGAGGCGACAAAAATCTACAAGAGTGTTTTAAAACTAGATCTCTAATCGTAGAAACTGAGAGGTTACTTATCATCTGGATAGGAAAAAACAGATGAAAGTGATTCAGTTTCTGGTGATTTCATTTGTGAAAGAAACCCAGGAGATTCTCGAACATTTAAAGGCAAATCAACCTGGTTCTTCAGGAACAAATTTGAAAGATTTTCCAGACTGTAAAGGCTGGTTCGAAAAAATTTAAGAAAAAATGACATTTAAGTGTTGTTGTTAGGCATGGGTGAAGCTATGAATTAGCCACTTTGATAAAGAAAGGGGCAGCAAAGTTTTTAGTTGAATTTAAAAAACTGATGGAAAGAAAAATTATCTTCCTTGTAAATTGTTCCAATGTGGACAGAAACTGGGCTGTTCTGGAAAAAGATGCCCAAAGAACATTCATCTCCAAAAAGATGAAACCTCTTTACCTGGGCATAAGCCGCAGGCAAGTCTCACTCTACTGCTTGGTGCCCAATGCTTCCAGGATTTCCGACTAGAAACCTATGGCAATCTACACTCTGGCTTAGAGGTGTTCAAGCAACAGAAAGTGGTAGAACAATGCTTGGGTTTATTGGAAGTCAACCGTAAGGCATGGGTGACAGACAGTTCTTTAATGAATGGGCTGTTGATGTGTTTTGCCCTCTGTCAAGAGCTACCTAACCACCAATAAGCTTCCTTTAAAGGCTCTTCTCCTCATGGATAATGCTCCTGGTCTTATTTACTG